GGGAGGAGTTAATGATGGGCTCACACAGCAGAGTTTCTGGGCTGGGAACTAGCTGCATTTATCTGCAAGGCTGGCTGAAGCATTATCTGTCCCCACGTCTGTTTCCCAGATGGAGGTCTCAGAGCTGAGGGGGCACAGCGGGTATGACAGCACCCTTTGTTAGGGAGGAGTTAATGATGGGCTCACACAGCAGAGAGTTTCTGGGCTGGGAACTAACTGCATTTATCTGTAGGGCTGGCTGAAGCATTATCTGTCCCCAAGTCTGTTTCCTAGATGGAGGTCTCAGAGCTGAGGGGGCACAACGGGTGTGACAGCACCCTTCGTTTTGTGCTGGTTATCGAGGCTGACGTTTTACTCTCATTGGGTAAGAGTGACATATGAGTAAAGGGGCACTGTTGCCGCCTCCACGCCAGAAAAACCAGCCCAGGATCTGAGAGTTTACTTTTCATTCTTATGCTCCTGAAATCTTTAATTTTTTAGTGGATCTCAAAGATATTCTCTAAAAAGAAAATTCATTCTGTTTCTAGCTTTATGTAAATGACTGCCTGCTTCTGCAAATTCCTCTTGCCAGTCCCCAAAGCATCAGGATGACAGTTTCTCAGGTTGCCTTCAAAAGCAGGCACCTCTGAATTCAGGGCTTATTCTAGAATCTAGAGGAACACATGTGCTGCCTTCCTTAATTGAAAATAAAAAAGTCTGCTGGGCTGGCCCTGCACTCCCTGAGCCCTACGCCAAATTGGTGCTACGCTCCTTGCACCACCTCAAGGACAGAGGAGTGGGCGGGTGGCTCTGTGATTTCCATTAGTCACAGAATGCTTCCTGCATTAGCAGGTGTTTAGAGCTGGTAAGTGACCCTCTGCCACCTGCCTCCCAGTGTTTAGCTGATGTTAAATTAATGCTGGCACGGATGGCAGGGATGGGCAGAGAAGCTCCTCAGGAGATGAAGAACCTCCTGCTCCTGCTGGGCCCCACTGCCATCACCTTTCGGGAAAATTATCCCTGGCATCCAGTCCTTCCATGAACTGTCC